AGGAGGGAGGGAACACCTTTTAAAAATCCAAAAATCTAAAATTTAAAAAAAGCCAAAAAATAAAAATACAGTGCGTACAGCACTGTACCAGGCAATACCAGGCAGTGCCAGGCAGTCTGAAGACTGTCTCCCAATCCATTCTCAAAACACTGGGAAGAGCGAAGAAGCAGACAGACACCCTCTTCACTGGCCAACGGTTAACTGAAAGTTCAAATCTCGCGCTTTCCCCACCTCCCGCGCGTTTATTTCGGTTTGTAATTCAAATCTAAGTTTGCAAGTCGAGTCAATATTTTTCTATCAGAGCGGTTTGTAAGTCGAAATGTTTGTATCTAGGGCCGTTTGTAAGTCGAGGGTTGACTGTAGTGGCTTCAGTCATCAGTTCTGTCCCGCATTTTAAAAATATAAATTATGTAATACCTTTTGGGATTAATATTACATTATTGCCTAAAAGCTAAAAAGTATTTTAAAGCACATTAAAAAAGGTAAAAGTTAACATGTTGATCATGCATTTGTGTCATGTTTATCCCTTCCTCATAAGTTTTCAATGAACATGAAAGTCACACAGAGTTAAAAAAAACCTAAAAACAGTAAATTGCATGCATTTAAAACAGTAAGAATTAAACAATGGTTATTGTAAGTTTTTTGGGCAGTTTGGCCATGTTCCAAAGGTTTTTCTTCCTAATGTTTCACCAGTTTCTGTGGCTGGGATCTTCAGAAGACAGGAGTTGGAGCTGTCTGTGTTCTGGTGTAGTGTGTGGGATAGTTGGGCATTTGTAGCTGTGGGATCAGCTTTTTGTCCCTTTCAGGTTGATTATTGGGTGATTATGGTGATCTGGCTGTGTTTTGTTACGGGTGTATTGTTGTGATAAGGGGGGGAGGTGGTCTGTCACTGTGATTGATGGGTGTCGTTAGTGACAGACCATCTCCCCCTTTTATCACAACAATACCCCCATAACAAAAAAGCCCCAGTCACCATAATCACCCAATAAAAAGCTGATCCCACAGCTACAAATACTCAACTATCCCACACACTACACCAGAACACAGACAGCTTTAATTCCTGTGGTTGTTGTGGGTTTTTCGGGCTCTTTGGCCATGTTCTGAAGGTTGTTCTTCCTAACGTTTCGCCAGTCTCTGTGGCCAGCATCTTCAGAGGAGAGCACTCTGTGCTCTGGTGTAGTTGGCTTGGGAGTGCACGTTAGGAAGAACAACCTTTGGAACACGGACCACAACAACCAATAGATTCCGGCCGTGAAGGCCTTCGTGAATACATTTAATTCCTGTCCTCTGAAAATGCCGGCCACATAGACTGGCGAAACGTTAGGATGAGAAACATCGGGAACATGGCCAAACAACCCAAAAACCCTACAACAACCATTGGATCCCAGCTGTCAAAGCCTTCGAAAATACATTAGTAGTTAAATCTTTGCTAAAATATATTAAAAGTAATACAAACAAACAGCAACGGAACACAAGTGAAGCACTCTACTTAGGCCTCCAAAACTTGTACAGATATGTTTTTAATGGTGTTTGAAAGAAGTGTGGAGGACATTCTGGTTTCTAACAGAAGGGAGTTCCATGGAATAACTAGTGAGAATAACTCCTACAAACTATATCACTTCCTACACACAGTCAATTTGAATGTATCTCCCTTGGGCTCTTGTTAAATTCAGCCTTAACCTAAGTCAGAAAAGCTTGTCATTTTGGAATGGGTGAAGCATAAATAGCTTGGCTCTTTCTTTTTTTAAGAGCACAAAGTTTAAAACGAGAACCTCACTGATGACTTTGGATTTTGTTTATAAGATAGCAGTAATCAAATTTAACTGCCTACTTTATTCAGCTGTAAACATGTGTAGTGCCCCAGATACAAGGCAAAAGCACGTGCACGGGACAAAAATTTTAAAGTGTTCTTTTTACTACTGTGTTTCCCCGAAAATAAGATGTGTTTCCCCGATAATAAGATTTAACCTGAAAATAAGCCCTAGGAAGATTTTTAGGATGCTCCTAATATAAGCCTCACCCCCCAAAACAAGCCCTAGTTAAGTGAAGCCCGACCCTTCACCATTGTGCAGCAACTAGAAGAAGATGATATGACTGTATTTGAATAAATGTAGATTGCTGTACGTGAAAAAAAACATCCCCTGAAAATAAGCCCTAATGCATTTTTGGAGCAAAAATCAATATAAGACTCTGCCTTATTTTCAGGGATACATGGTATTCAGTAGATTACCATCTCAGTCGATCCTCCGGTGCATGGGTTGTGTGTCTCCTGAGGGTCACTTTGATTCTCTGGGGACTGCTCTTACTTTTTTACCCATGTGGTTCAATCAAAACCAACACTTGCTCCTTTTTTCTAGGCTACAACATTGCAGAAGTTGGTTCAGAGGGCAGAGGGTACGTCTGGAAAGCTGACAGCGAGAATGATGTTGACCAAGAGGAGCAAACGCAGAGTCTTTGGGGTAAGGAAAGACACCTTTGAGGAAGGGCAATTTTACAAAAGGACAGTTTGAGGATGTTCAGTGGCGAGCCTATTGCCAGCTGCTTTGCTCCTGTTTCCCATGAAATGGACTAGAGTTCTACAAGAATGGAGATGTGGCCATGCATCCCCCCTCTCCCCAATTTCAGTGCCCATGGTAGGCTAGTTCATAATGAAACAGATTCCTGGGATGTAAGCAGTCGTTGTTGGAAAACACACCCGTATGGTATCCAGGTTGATGTCTTCATAGATTAGATTAGGCCTCCTTCAGTCTCGTTTCCCATGAAATGGACTAGAGTTCTACAAGAATGGAGATGTGGCCATGCATCCCCCCTCTCCCCAATTTCAGTGCCCATGGTAGGCTAGTTCATAATGAAACAGATTCCTGGGATGTAAGCAGTCGTTGTTGGAAAACACACCCGTATGGTATCCAGGTTGATGTCTTCATAGATTAGATTAGGCCTCCTTCAGTCTCGAGAGAAGAGACGCGACAAGAATGGAGATGTGGTCATGCGTCCCCCCCTCCCCAATTTCTGTGCCTATGGTAGGCTAGTTCATAATGACACAGAAGAATTCCTGGGATGTAGCAGTCATAGGTGGAAAACACATCCATATGGTGTCCAGGTTAATGTCTTCATAGATTAGATTAGGTCTCCTTCAGTCTCGAGAGATGATGGCCACGTGCTCTGAATAGAGGTCCTGCAACAGCATCTAGTGTGGCTGAGGAGGCCACTTCGGGAGTGACCATCCCTTCCACACGGAAGACAAATACAATCTGTACATAGAATCATTGTGATCAAGTTCCTTGTCAGAGTATGACAGTTCCTTAGTTTTGGCGCGAATGCCCGTCTTTCCTAACTCCTCCCCCCTTCATCTCTTTCACCCTTTTCACAACTTCCACTACCTCTCTATCTCTCTCCTCTCTATCTTCTCCCTCCTCTATAGATGTATGAAGGGATGGCTCACTCTCTCACTCCTTGTCTTTTATCCTCCGGTTCACAATCATATACATAGAATCAAATACAATGCCTTCATAGAATCATAAAATAATTGAGTTGGAAGAAGCCTGTAAGGCCTTCAAGTCCAACCTCCTGCTCAGAGCAGGGAATCCAAATCAAAGCAGATTTGACAGATGGTTGTCCAATTTTCTTTTGAATGCCTCTAGTGTTGGAGTGCTCACCACTTCCCAAGGTAATTGGTTCTGTTGTCATACTGCTGTAACAGTTAGGAAGTTTTCCCTGATATTCATCCTAAATCTTACTTCTTGTAACTTCAGCCCATTATTAAGCATCCTGCACTCTGGGATGATCAAGCAACAACAACAACAAAAATGACTGCTTTTCTATTCAGAGGCTGTCTGTTTCTCATCTGTTTTAGGTCCCACTTTGAGTGCAGAAGAAGAAAGCGAATCAGAAAGCGATATCAGCCTGGGGTCTGAGCAGCCAGATAGTCGGACAGCTTCTCCTCAGTTGGATGACATCAAAGGTAGTAGCTTTTTTTTTTGTTTTGTTTTTGCCTATGAAGATAGCTGTGTTTGCATGCACTTTCCTGCATCGCAGTTGGGAGAAACAGATGTGTTGAGTGAACATCAGCAGTCTGAGCGTGCAGCTTCCTCCATGGGGGAAGCATTGCTGCCTGTTGCTCCTGGTTCTTAGTGTGTGTTGGCACTTGCCATATTTCAGCTAATGAGCCACTTTTACCTTGGCCACAGTTTTCCAGAACGAGGTCCTGGGTACTCTGCAAAGAGGTGAAGAGGAAAACATATCGTGTGACAACCTGGTCCTGGAAATCAACTCACTCAAGTAAGACGTGTGTTAAACTCTCTAGCTTAGAGGAGTCCCAGTCATTTCAGTGGGCTTGCTCTAGGGAGGACAACCGTTCTCCAGTTTTGCTGGGAGTAGGTCTGCTGAACTGACTGGAATGTAAGTTGGTTGTCATTTCAGTGGGCTTGCTCTAGGGAGGATTAATGCAAGAGACGAGTCCTCAATTTTTTTCTCTAGACTAGGGCATAATGACTAAGAACAGACTCCTACAGTGCCGTGGTTTGTTTCAAGCTTTCTTACAGCTTTATTTCCTGCTTTCTTACAGGTATGCCTATAACATTGGCCTGAAAGAGGTGATGGAGGTGCTCAGCAGGGTGGTTCTGGAGTTCCCCCTGCAGCAGTTAAATGCGGAGAAGGATCCCCAGCACTACTGCATGCTGGTAATACCTGTGAGTAGCCTCTCTCTTTGGTTCATCATCTGTTTTCCACTCTTTCAGGACAAGAGTCAGAACTGCATATCCTTTAGCTCTCCTTGTACTGCAGCTCCCGCTGTTCCTCACTGTACTAATGAGAGGTTGCTCCTCTGGAGAGCAACATGTTGCCCAGCCTTGCTGTAGCCGTTTCTCCATCCATTGAGGGAAAAGGGGCATTTTGCTGTTCCAGAGGTACAGGTCTGGACCCGCTGTATGAGGATGCTGTGCAGATCTCAGTAGAGTGTGGGGAATGCCTACTGAGTTTTGTGGTTTGTAAAAACACTACAGCTGGTGTCCCACATGCTTTCCCCAAAGAGAGGTGCCTACATCTGGAGCTCTGCAGTGGAGAAGCCGCCTCTGACAATGGGGTGGGCAATGTGTGGTCCTCCAACTTTTAGCAGACTACAACTCCCAGCATTCCTCACCAGCAGCTGTGCTGGCTATGACCAATCATCTTCACAGTCTCTCTAAGGGTGCACGTAGCAGACCTTGGTGGGAGTTGCAGGCGAGTAGCCTCAGGTGCCCTTTCTCCATAGCTTCTCTGTTTGCTTTTAGTCTGGCCTACGGAGAAACGTCTTAATTCACAAAGCCCTAATTTGTTGAGGAGTGCTGTTAAAGGCGTTCGTAGTTGCATGGAGAGGATGTTATCCCAAAATGGGGCAGGGCATTCCTAAGCCTTGACAAGCAAGAAAGTCTGTCACTTTGGCATAGCGATTTTGGCATGCGTGTCCTTGACTTGTAGTTTGCAAGATTCTTGTGCTGCTTTGCCTGTTGTAATGGATGTCGTGTGGGTCCATTTCGTATGATCATACAGAGCAGTCGATGAATTGATTTCCTAAGTTGATGGAGCTGAAAGAAGATGGGGCAAAGAACTAGAAAGGGGGAAAGGAAGTGCTTTTTGAGCCGATCAGACACAGCCCATGGATCGCTTGCTTTGGAAGAGGTATCCTGTCTCTGCGGCCTTCTCCCCAGACTGGTCCTTTCCTGCCTGGAAACACCCATCGATTGCCGTGCTGCTTCTGTGCCATTTTCTTACTCTTGTTTCTTTCATCCCACTTTTTTTAAAATTTTGAGCCCGTGCTTCTTTTCAAGGGGTGGGCATGGCACCCGGATATGTTGGTTTTCATTTTGCTTGTGCAATAACTCTGCAAAGTAGTGAGCAGTGAGAGTCCCTGGCTTATGGTTACAAAGTAAGCATCAGTGTGTATTCAGTATTTCCAGACATTTTATGGCAATCCAACCACGGCAGAGCATTGACTTGAAAGGAGAGTGAGCTAAGTCATCCCTCTTAAGTCTGGAGGAATTAATAAACTGCCAGCTTTAAAAAAAAGTGTTTTGGGGGTGGTGGTTAAACCCACCAGGCTCATGAGATGTTCCTTGGCCATAGGTGGCCTCCATACAAGTCTTCTGTGGCAATAGTCTCTTCAGTCTTTTCTTAATTTCCAAGGAAAAAGACTGTACAGTTGGTACACAGGTTTATTTATGGATTTAAAATCTGTCTGTCTGTCCATCTGTGTACATAAAGATTGCTGACTGCCCCAAGCAAATCTTATGAAGCTTTCAGAGTACTGTCTAGAAATGTAAACAGCCATAAATGAGAAAGGAAGCCAGAAGAATTTTTACAAGAGGAGCCAGGAGGCCCCGAGAAAAATCAGCTCTCTTGAGTTGGCTTGATGATCACGGATACTCTGAGACTTCTGGATATGGCTTTTTTTTTTACTTCCTCAAATGTGGCATAAAGAAAGCTCATCCCAAATAAACACAGTGGAGTTTTATACCTGTGGACAAGAAGCAGCGGCCAAACTGTGGGGCTTCTTTTCTCGGATTCCTCTATTGGATTGTTTCCAAATCTCCACAGAGGACAGCAGTTCTAGTGATTTGCTTTATGAGTTCAGATAATGGCTGCTGCTTCCTATTAAATGTCTAAATATTGTGGGATGGCAAGGTATCCTCCCCCCCCTTTAAACTTCTACAGCACTTGCAAAAATAAAATTTCTACAAATGTAGAGAGCACACTTATAAAATTATTGCTTAAAACATATATATCCTTCTAAATGGTCAGGAAACTTTTTTTTATCTTCCCCCCCCAAAAAATTTTTTTTATATATGCCAACGTTACCTTGCACCTCCCAGCACCGCCCCCCACTCTCGCCATCCGCAGCCGGCCCCTCCTCCCTGCCTCTGCGCTTGCCTGGGACCTGCCGCCGCCGTCCGAGCAGCCAGTCGAGCTACCACGCCGCCAGGAAAGCGCGTCCTTGGTGAAGGGAGGCGGGCGCTGCAGGGCCGGCAGGTCTGCCGGCCATGAGCTCAGGTGAGGCGGGGCGGGAAGGGGGGCTCCTTGCCAGCACTCACTCTCCTTGCAACGGAATGCCCGCCTACACACAGTATCGTCAGAAATAAAATGTCACGTTGCTGCGACAGTCCTCATTACCCCCAGGATTTTCATTTTTACTCAATTTGGGGTAATTTACCCCTGTTTTCCTGACCACTGTTCTAAAAGGTGGCGTACATGACTCTTGCTCCTGACATCTGTTCCCTTAACATCCCTGTCGTTTGGAAGCTAGGCTCAGGTGAAAGAGTGTCCCTGGCCCAAGGTCACCCAGTGTGTTTTAGGGCTGAGTGGGGATTTGAGTGCGGCAGGCGTTGGTGGTATAGTGGTGAGCGTAGCTGCCTTCCAAGCAGTTGACCCGGGTTCGTTTTTGTGTGTATGTGTGTGTGTCCCTCCATTTTTTTGTTTCCATTCCCTTCCATTTTTAAAATTGTTTTTAACATCGTAAGATGCCTTAGGTCCTCTTGGGGCGAAAGGCGAGGAATAACATTTTAAATAGCAGTACAGACATGAAACATGCCCTGTGAGCACTCCACACCCTTCCTCCTCCTTCTCCTCCTCCTCCTCCTCTTCTTCTTCCTCCTCCTCCTCCTCTCCCTGATCTTCCCCTTCCCACCACCTGGCCTTTAACATATCAGAAGCCAAAGACCAGCAGCCTTTTCCTAGTTGCCTGGATGGTCTGCTGGTACCTTCTCTCTTCCGCCTCTTCGAGTTTATTGACCAAGAAATAGCCAGCTCACTCTTTTTAAGCTGTTGACTTGCAGGTCTTCAGGGTGCAATCAGACACCTTCTCACTCTGCCCAGGAGGTAAACGAGAGAGACACCATCCAATTCTGTACTTATTTAATTTAATTTATTCATTATTGGATTTTTATCCTACCCTTCTAGAGAGGAGTCTACTCAGGGCGGCTCACAATATATTGCACAAACAGATTTAAAAACAACAATTAAAATCTACAAGAATAATATTATCAAGATGGATCAAGAGGATAATCAAGAGGATAAACAACAAGAAAAGTAAAAATCAAGTATTGGCAGGAGGGAAGGCTTGCTTAAAGAGCCAAGTTTTTAATTGGTTCTTGAAAACACCCAGCGAGGGTGCCAGGCAAATCTCTGGCGGCAAGCTGTTCCAAAGTCGAGGGGCCACCACAGTGAAAGCCTGGTTTCTTGTTCTTTCTTTCCGGGCCTCTCTCGGCGTCAGGCCCCCCAGCCGTCTTTCCTGGCTAGAGCAAGTGATTTGGGTAGATCTAGGTGGGAGGAGGCATTCTGCCAAGTATCAAGGTCCTAAACCGTTTAGGGCTTTGTATGTCATTATTAACACTTTGAAGTCAATGCGGAAACGAATGGGTAGCCAATGCAAAGCAGCCAGAATGGGAGAGATATGCTGGAATTTTTCTCGTTCCACTAAGTAGTTTGGTTGCCGCATTCTTACTTAGCTGCAACCCACTTTTGTCAGTCTCCATGGGAGGAGGGGACTTGGAACCGATACAGGGGTTCTACATCTCCCGCACTCAGATGTATGCTGAGATGATGGTTTGGTTTCATTCTCAAATTAACCCTTTGTCCCCTCTCCCCACAGATAGCGGGTGGGATTCTACTGTACCTAGAAGCTCTCCATGGGATCAACCTAAGTAGAATTCACAACATGAAATTATTATTTTTCCGAGTGGTGCCTTCTCTACCAGGAAGACATGCTTTTGGATATAAGCGCTGCAAGGTTTCAGGGAATTGTTTTCGAAAGCAGGGGAAACCAGAGATGAGACTTAGGCATTTCTTCCTCTTGAAGTGAGCCAGTGTAATGTATTGGGAGCTTCCGATGAAGATCCTTGGTTGGATCGGCTGCTTGTAGCTGTGCTGAGATGGAGGACTATGCTTGCTGAGTCAGGCCGTTGGGTTCCTCCTACAGACTAGCAATGGGCCAAGGGAGTTTTTAACGGTTGGGTGTGGTTATTGATTGATTGAATGTAGCTGGGGGGTGTTTTGGGCAAGGTTTGAGTATATATATATGACAGCTAGCTGTGAGTGCTTGCCGTGTCTCCTGCAAATAAAGAGCTATGCTGAAGTCATCTCCACCTCTGAACCCACTGCATTACATCCAGTATCTTCATGCCTCAAACCTGATGGAATTGTGTTCAGCATCCTTGATGGTCCACTCTTTCAGGCATCAGAAACCAGACAGTTGTGGCTTCTGTTTGGCTGACTCCCTTCTCTCTTTCCTGTATGCCTCATAAAAGTCTTTTGATAATTTCTCTATGAACTTCTCTTTCCTGGAAATATATAGTAACAGAAACTCATAATGAGCTAATTAATGATGCTGTATTGCTGCTTTCAAAGCACTAATTAGTTTTTGAGTACTAGATCAGCCAAGAATGTGGAGACTTCCTGCCTTTCATCCGTTCTGTAATCATTGCAATGTCCTGGCATGTCTCTGGTGAATGTAGATAGAGCTTTAGAGAAGCCTCTTGGCCCATGACGGCATTCCTATGCCAGTCCTGCAGGAGTCACACCCAAGATGTTAGATGGATCTTTGTGGCTGCCTTCATACCCTTTTGTAATACTGGGAGATTAGGTTGTGCGGTATTTGGAGGTGTGCTTTCTTCACCACCAGTGCAGAGTTGTGTCTTTAGCTAAAGCACCTGGTCTCTTACTTTTCACTCATGCACTGGCTTTGAAATGTTCCTACTTCCATTTTTGCCATGTGGAGAGTCCTGCCAGGGCACCATTTACATCCTCTAGGAGCACACAAAGCCTGAGAACAGCTTCAGAGGTTGCCTGCCCTTTCTCTCTGTCTCTCCTTTCCCCACCTTTAAATCTGCAAAATAAGTATCAAGCTGCCAGAGTACTTTACAGCAGTGGTCCCCAACCTTGGGCCTCCAGATGTTCTTGGACTACAACTCCCAGAAGCCTTCACCACCACCTCTGCTGGCCAGGATTTCTGGGGGTTGAAGTCCAAGAACATTTGGAGGCCCACTGTTAGGAACCACTGCTTTACAAAGTAAACCAAATATTCAAAGTGTTTTAGAATTGCACGAGACATCTGTTCTTAATAAAATCACTGTGTTACTGGGGAGAATGTGAGCCATTCATTAGCGTGATAGTTGCTTTTGAGACTTTTAAGAGGATATGTATAGTTTGATGCCTTTATCTTAGTATACTTATTTTCTGGCTTTGTCTGAGCATCTGTAGTGTGACAGAACATCTTGGGAATTACTGTATTTTTCCATGTATAAGACACTCTCATTTTTCTAACCCAGCATTTCTTTCCTTGCAAGAAAGTGTAGGGGCAAAGCAGGAATTTGCACTTTGATCCCTCCCCCTCCTTCCGTGTATAAAATGACCCTCAATTTTTCCTGTAATTATTTTAGGAAAAAGTTTTGTTTTATACACAGAAAAATACAGTAATCCAAAAGAAGGTGAGGAAACCGTCACTTAGTATAGTTCTTGGTAAC